GTTTTCTCCTTGTTTATCGCGCTACACGTGCTGCATCCCAAGCTCGCATCAATTGGATGCTGTTGGGTTACCGTTTCAACAAGAAGATGGGCGCACAGAAACTTGGATCAGTTCACGTGCTCACTTCTCATGTCTCTTTGTCTACCCTATGGGACAAAAGATGAGAAACTCCCACACATGCTTCCTTGGTAGGAGATGTCCATTGCGTGACATGTTTTTTTTTTATGTCGAAGGAATCTTATCTCTGATGCGATGTTTAGCAATTTTGCTTCAGCCCCTGCTACACGTATTTGGGAGCTTACAAGCCGATGGAATTTTCCAATCCTACTGTAATTCTGAGCAAATTTTTGGTGGATTGTCTAAATCAATCGTATGTGTAGCACGAGGCATGCGATTTACTGAATCCACAAATCAGCCAATGGTATCTGGCACGTGACGCATGACGGATGGTACCACCGCGCACCGATGTGTGGATTGCTTAGATCGAGTGAAGGTCTATGGCTTCGTTTACACCCTTTTCTTGCTGTGCGCATATTGAGTCATTGAATAGTGACTGTACGCCGAACGGCCTATCTGTTTGTGCATCCACGAGCGGAATCATGCATTGGACGCCATTCATAAGGCCCCGTTTGATGTGTGCCTCACATTCATATAATAGAATCATATTATGGCAGTCAATTGTGTTGCCAGATGGGATGTTCCCATCCAGTAGTCTTCAATGGTGTTCGGCACTGGCAGTGCTGCACTGTCTCTTGAAAAATAGGTGCTGCCAGCTGTAACGACAATTGACAGCGCGAATTGGGACATTGCAATTTTATGAGTAACAATGACGTTTGCTTAGGTCTAAGCGAATGACACTCTGATGGCTGAGCAGGGCATCCCACAGCCCCATCGCACAAGGGACAATCACAACAGATCATCTCAATCTTTGGGCTTTTATCAATTTTGCAAGCATAGTGTGAACCAGTGATTACATCAACAGGTGTACTAGGGTGACCTGTAAATTCATTTGAATATGTAATTTTTAAGGAAAAAGCACTGCTGTTTCACATGATAGGCAATGCCAAGGGACTCCAGCTTCTCTATCGCATTTTGCGGCCAATCGCATATCTGACTTGCGGTTTCCTCGGCCAGGCCACATGATCGAACACGACAAGGCGATGATTTTGCAACACTTTTGGTGTTCATCACGATGTCCATCACGATGGGTCACGATGGACATGTGATATTGATGTATCAGTAATGCTGACCACAGATTTATTCGCATTTTCCACTTAATATGCCCATTAGCTTCCTAATATTCCAAAGCTGTTACTTCCTCATGAGTGGTCGAAGTCAGGTTTGTTAATAACTTTTAAGGTAACAGTTTATGTTTCACGGCTTTATGCGGCAAAACATGTAAATACAGAAACGGCCGTTTTGCAGCTACATTCGCGCATTTTTACTGCTCGTAGGCACACCCATGTTACATGATGTCCCAAACAATGGTCAGTTGTCAGCCCCCTCAAGCATCCGCAAAACAGCGTCCACCTCACCCTCGGCGAGGGCAACGGCATCACCGAGCAAAATATCGTTCCCGCCCACTCCAGCGGGTCTCAATATCACTCGACGGACTCCCTGTGACTGCATGTACTGTCTTTGCGTATATAGGGCTCATGTCACGCGTTTCCTCTTTATTTATGCACAAAACATGAAAAGCATTCTTGCGCCGTAAATGGCAAGCCTGATAAAAGTCAAACAGTAAATGCCATACTTGGCTTCCACTCCATCACGCGTGCAAGCCGGAGATACACCTTCTGGGTGGGCCCAAAATGGAGGGAAACAAGACGACAGCAGGAGCTCGAGCGGTGTATTATAAGACTCCTAAATATTGAATATGCAATTGTATAGTTGGGTAATATATTTAATGACTAAGAAGTATTCGCCGCCGCTCACCGTCTCCAAAGCCAGTTAATTCCAGGACACCAACATTCCCATGCTCCATTTGAACCTCACGAAATCTAACCCATCCAACCTGCAAGAAAGACACATACATCCTTTTATGGACTTCCGTCCAGTCCTTCAAATTTCTGTAGAAAACCAAAGGGGGGTATGGAAATACCACACAGTTTCCCTGAATCAGCATATTACCCAGCTTTGCCCTTGGCAAGGTCCCATTGGCGGTTCATTAATTGCCATGTCCCAAATTCCCTTCTGCTCCGATGCTCGCCGCATCTCCATCACAATGTCTGGATGATGGCGGCTTCTCTCGCGATGCATATCGTGGAGAATGTCGAGCTTCGTAACTGCATCATCACTTTTCCAAACAATGCTGTGTGAGCGCAAGGAATGCGCGATTGGACGGCCATAGGCACTGCCGGGCTTCCGTAGAATCTCGATAACAATTGCCACTGTCGAGCGTCCATGGAAACTCGATAACGCTGGCAAAGTGGTTCACTGCTGTGTGGTCATTGATGATTGAAGAATGTGAATGTTCACAATAGAACTAGTGGAGGTATGCCGAACCAGGTTTCTGTACCATTGACTACGAAAACGGAATTGATCACGCTGCTCAATTGGGTTGATTTCCATCAGCCAATTTGAAAGTAATATAAGAAAGTTCACGATAAATACGATCTGTCAAGCCACCGATCTTAACTGAATCCACCCAGGATCACTCGAATGCGATAACACATGAAAGCGTACGCCATTAAGCGCCATGTACGTCCCGAGTCTCCAAAACAAAAAGGAATATATGTCACGTGGTTTTAAGCAGGGAAAGACAAACATGTCCAGGTTCAAGCCCCTCGCGACATGCAGGCCAGTATATATATTATATGATTTCATATGTCCACTTCTCTTTACATCTCCCTTCCAGGATCAACCGCTGTCGGCAACAAAACACCCAGAATATCTCTCAATACCGAATTCTCTACCGGTCCAGTTATTTCCACGGTCATAGACCACATTTCTGCCTGCAAAATACTTATTCATGCTCCTTTCTGTTGCTGCTTGCACAACCAAGGCTCGGATAGAAGCATGTCCATAAACTAGTCAACCATATTCGTCCTACATTACAGAATCCAACTGCAGCAAGGTAGCTCATCGAAACAAAATACAAGACCGCAAAGTACCGGCGGCTCGCAGAATTTCGCTTCAATTGCACAAGATGAGTCTCGGAATCCCTATGGGGACCACTGGAAACAATTTCCCATCAAATAGTTATTCCACATTTATAAATAGCTCGCGGAATGACGAGATTTCCGCATTAGAAGTGGATAACATCGGCAAAAACGGACACAATGCCAAAAGTAAAATAGAAGCGACAATAGTGGACTGAGATTGCCTGTTTGGGTCTGCATCTCCACAAGTGTCCAGCCTGGCGAAGCACAACACCAAAGAGTCCAGGCTCAGCCTGTTCTCCACCCACATCTCATCAGCGAAATCTGCAGACCGTCCTACACTACCCGATCAACCATCCTTGACACATTTCGTTGTTGAGGCACCAGGAGGAATAGGCCCCTCCCAGTTCTATAAACACACATGGGGCCGCTGCCTTTAGGGACTTCTCGGCAGTTCTTTCCCGCGGGCGGTAGCCCTTGGCCTGGGAGGAAGCTTCCCCGGAGGCGTCGACAAAGGAGGGGGTCTCGCCACGGGAGGGGGTGTCGGCACGGGAGGCGGCGTTGGCGGGGAAGGGGACTTGGGCACGGCCGAAGCCACAGACTCCGGGACCAGGACAACTGCTGCCTTCTCGACTGGGCCCGATTTTCCTGGGCTCGATTTTCCTGGAGTCGATTTTCCCGGGATCGACTTTCCTGGGCTCGATTTTCCTGGTCTCAGCTCTCCTGGGCTCGCTTTTTCTGGCCCCGACTTCGCTGTCACGTTTGGCGCCGAGGCCGGGGGCGGTGGAGCCTTGACGGGTGGAGGTGGGGTGGGGACGGCGGCTGGAGGAGGCGGTGGGTCGGTGGCGAACGGTGGGGGCCGTGGTGGCGGCGGGGCAGGGTCAGTCTGGTTGCAGCCGTTGTTGTCCGCGTAATCAGCGTTGCACTGGGCGAGCCTGCGCACAGAGAGAGGCAGTGGGGTCAGGACGGCAGGAATGGTGGACGCAGGTTCGGAGAATGGGAATCAGGAGCGAGTTGCGAGAAACTGGGTGCGGCCTGCGGTGCGTGCGATTGTTCTGAAGATGAATCTCCAAAACTCTTTATCCAGAAGCCTGGATTTCCGCAGATATACCAGATATACCAGATATACCAGATATACCACCAGATATACCCGGAGAATGTGGCAGCATACTGGAAGATAAGTCAGCCACTCAGTGCTGTAGGTATGTACGAGAAGCCCCTTGTATACCAAAGAAGGGGAACGCGATCATCTAACTTAACCAAAATCATGAGAGGTAGAATGGTGTTATTGAAACGGCCACCAAAAGCAAAGAGTATGTTTATGGAGCACAACACCTTTCCCGGACCAGTTGAGGCCAATCGGGTAACCAGGAAAACTTCGTGTTTCCTCATTAGTGAACATACCTCTGTGGACCACAATTGCTAAATCAATTCGAGAACTCAAAAGCTACATTAAATCCAATAGCGCTGCCGGTACACTCACACGCTCATTAGCTTGGGGCCATCGAATCCCGCCAACTTGGCCACGGGATTTGCCTCTAGAACGAAGATGAATTCGTTGATGATCTGCTGGTGGCAGAGGCCTGGGAACCAGCAACCATGTTAGAATCGTTCCGCACAGCGTCGTATCCGCAGATCCGCAGGTTAATTCATAATTGATCGAGCGATTGACCAATCAATCAATCAACTTGTCAATCGACTAATCAGTAGCTCAGCTGCTACAAGAACATCTTTCTCAAGTTGTTGGAAAGTAGATAAAACAGCCCGAAGGAGAGCATCGGAAGCCGATCAGGGCCAAGGTCCGCGCTCGCGTCTTCCACGCACTGGACGCCGATGGCGGCCATCCTGCACGCGCACGTTGTGCGTGCGCGGGCGCAGCCGAGCCTCCCATGCACTCACATCCTGCGAGCTCTCCTCCGCGCTCGATCTTCGTCACGTCGGCGATGGCGTGGCAGCAGTCCGTGGGCACCCAGGTGGGCCAATTCAGCTCGATGTCGAGCGCGCAGGGCGCAAAGGTGGTTTCCAGTATACCCCCGCCCGTGCGGTCGAATTTGGGGTCGCACGCCTCGCGCGTCGGGATCTGGCCTGCAAACACAAAACACACAAGTCACTGTGGCCGACGACGCTCACCACAAAGAGAGGCCTCTCGCGCACTCAGGACATCCAGCCTCGCCTCGATCGCTTTTCTGCACGCATGACCACGCATCCTCAACGGTGCACTGGCCCACATGGATCGGTCGATTGTTCCAAGGGGCCGTGTGCGATTGACGCCGGCAACTCCCCAAGGTCATGCGCTTGACATCTGCTGCCTGGGCACCTCCCATTCGTCAAGAAATGCCTGTGCCTAGCGCCTAGCATCCTCGACATGGTTGTGCATCCACGTCCCTCCTTAGAAAGTGCTTGCGGCCAGTGCACCCGGCCCTGCCTAGACCTGAGGGGCCTTGCCGCGCACGCCACCTGCGCCACAGACTAACCCGCTCTGCAGGCGGTTCGGAACGTCTCTTGGAGAACGCGATTGTCCTGTATGCGAACAGATGTTGCGCAGCACCCGCCCCGTCGCCCTGCGCTCCGTTAGCGGCACCCCGCAGACCCTATCATTCGTGGCGCGTCCCCGAGGGCCATCACACGCCTCGCGCGACACTCACCGTTGCAAAGGGCCAGCATGCCGAGGGCCAGGCACACCGGCGCAGCGAGCCGCCCCATCCTTCCCCTCGCCTCCAGAAACTTGCCGCGCCCTGAGCGGTGCTTCGAAGCAGGTGCTTAATTCGGCACACCTCCCTCCCCGCTTTCTTTCGGGGGCCTCTCCTTTGGCGCCTTCTGCCTCGCGTGCCACTCCAACAAGGGACGACCAGACACCACCTCGGCGGGCCGTTTATGCGCGTACAGCCTTTGAGGCGACGTATACGCAGGCCTATGTCGGACCCTAGGTTACGAAGGTCGGCGGCCTTTACTGTGCGGGTGGTGCGCATGACGATGGGCGTCGGGTCACCGTCCCCTCGGCGTCGAGCCCGATGTACATTTGCTCAGGCAGCGGGACGCAATACATGCGCCAGCACTGCGTTTGGGCCTAGACTGAGCACTGTGGCGAATCAGCAAGAGGCAGATGCAGGCCAATCCGGGCCCCTTGTACCACAGCTTGCGCGAGGCGAAGGACAGCAGTATTGGAGCACCAGTTTGGATCACTGTGGCGCCGTGCTTTCGCACACGGTTTGGCACAGGACACGGCCATTGCAGCAATCGCGTAGCAGTCTGTGGGTCCTCCGCGCTAGCACCTTGAATATGACGGCGCCGTCTTCCAGGAAGCACATTGTATATTGTTCAACCGAGCTTGGAATGAGCGGCTGGTACTGCTTCCACCCACCGGTATGGAAGTTTAGAGCTACGCCTGGATTTACACCTCCAAGCAATAGCAATGTTCGAAAATTTTGTGGCATTGTGCATGTCATGCTTCCAGGTTAATAATAATAGTGTGTTATTACTACTTGAAGCATTATTGCTAATATTGGACGTGGAGGGTATCGAATATACGATGCAGCCAATGTCGGAGGTATTCTACCGTGTTCTGGATAGGTGCGTATCCGACAGGTGTCCGACGTTGGCTGCGAAATGGTCATCTGGTAATGTCCAAATATGCTGAATGCGGATCAAATGTCAAGCTGTAAACAATTAGATAAATATGCTCCGTCGACGGAGCAAGGAGAAATCCAGCGTCTTGGACGAAAATATGCGTCTCTGAAGCAACAAAACCTTGGAAACGAAGGTCGAGTGTTGATGGAAGCTGTTTCAGGACAATATAACTCCAATATTGCCTCCTCCGTATTGATATGTAGACATCGGCTGATGCAAGGAGGGAGGTCTTGTGCGAGATGCTGGGCGTACGGCCAGGCCCCAAGCTCCTTGGGACATGACCCACAAAGGCAAGGTGAACGGCCAAGGGCATCATGGTGTCGACTGGAGCAAAGGTATGCTCCCAAATGGCGTGCTTGTGGATTCTGCACAGTGCGGCCATTCTCGTGCTAACGTTGGTGATGATAGCTACTGCCACCGCCATAGTTGTTGCGGGGAGATGAGCAACTCAAGGCAATCGCTTTTATGACTGCGGCACTGGCTATCGCGATCACCGCCACTGCTGCTGCAATGGTTCCAGTATAAAATTTTCCAGTGGGGAGATACTTCAGAACACATCCCTTCACATGTGCTCGAATCTAAGAAATGCATATGCGTCGAAATGTAGATGCCCCGTGTAAGGTTCCGAAACGTTGGTGTACTCAAAAGAAAAGCTAACATCACTTAATGTTGCTTATTGTCTAACTAATCAAGGCTTACATAGAAATTCGAAGATCAGAAAACCACCAGCTTCATTCAAGCTCACGAAACCAACTTGCGCAAGCCCCGTCGTAGTTCTCAACACAAGAAATCAACCAAAAACTGAGAGGAAGCCATGGAGGGAAAGCTGCATTCCAGTTTTATGGCACACCCTCACATGCCATTTTCCATCTGACCCTCCGCACCAGAACTATGGAACTGCTTGTCCGTGCTCGCTCACTTTCACATGTACTGCTTCAGCAAACGCATAATCACGTAGGTGACTTCCCCAACATGATAGTGCATCGTCCAGCCACCTTTGCTTGAACACTCAAGTCACGAGAAGAAACTCGTCCTGCCATCTCTATGGACACATCCGTACCTAACTGCGATGGTCGTACCCATAAGTCCCTTTCGCACGAGCGGTGGCCCTTGGCCTGGGCGGCAGCATCTTGGGCGTTTGGGGCACTGGAGGGGGCACCGACTCCGTCACCACCACGACCTTTGGCTCGTTGTCAGGGTTCGGGGTTACGGTCACGGTTGGTGTGGTGGATGGGGTCGACTGAGGTGCGGGTGTTGATGGTGGTGGTGGTGGCGGTGGTGGTGGCGGTGGTGGTGGCGGTGGTGGTGGTGGTGGTGGTGGTAGTGTGGGTGGGGATGGCGGCGGGGGGGGTGCTGCCTGGTTGCAGCCGTTGTTTCCGACGAAATCCGCCATGCAGTTGTTGAGCCTGCGCGCAGCGGAAAGCAGCGAGGGGGTCAGGACTGCCAGGGAGGTGGCTACGCGGTGCGGCTAGGAGGGAAATGCGGGCGAGCTGAGAGAAAGTGGACGCTGTAAGGGGCTTCGCGCGATGAACGCGCTCCCGCTGGAGTGGATGGATTTGCACGCCGCGCACGTGCTGATTCGTCAGACTATTTTCACCGCCACCATGCAAGGAACACCGCGGGTGGTGCACTCACACGCTCATGAGCTTGGCGCCGTCGAATCCCACCGCCTTAGCCAGAGTGTTTGCATCCAGGACCGCGATGAAGCCGTCGATGACCTCCTGCTGGCACAGGCCTGCGAACAAACCAAACCCGTCACAACCACGCCGCACAACGCATCATCTGCCCGGGGGGCGAGGCAATCAATCAATCAATCAGCCAATCAATCAATCAGAGAACGAGAAGAAACAATTTGTCCTTTGGAAGGAGGCGAGCATCAACCTCCCTGCAAACTTCGGAGGTTGCCCTGTGGGATCCCGCAGGGAATCAAGTTCGAAGAAAGCGCCGTCTCGCAATGAATGCAATCGAAAGTTGAACGAACGCAATTGAAAATGTGCAATCGAAAATCGCCATTGTGCGCATGCATGCAAGCCTCCGATCGAGTTCGTGGAGAGCGCTGATTCCAGCGCACGGCCGATCGCGCCCATGCACTCACATCCACCCAGGTCTCCCCCGCCGCCTACGGCCGTCGTGGCGGCAATGGCGCTGCAGCACTCCGGGATTTCGTCCAGGGCGCAGGGCTGGAAAGTGGTAGCCAGGCTGCCCTCGCCCAGGCGGTCGAATGTGGCGTCGCACTCTTTGAAAGTCGGGATCTGCCCTGCAACATGAAGCGCACCGCCGCTGACGACTAACGCGACGTGTCGTTTGACACGGGCGTCTCACACGGCACGCCCGCTGTCAACAGGGGCAGTTTCGCGCGCGTTGCGGGCATGTCACCGGACTCGGCGCGCCCAATCGTGTGTGCGGCCTCCCAGTCCAAAGGCCCGCCCGTGCGGCCCCATGGGGGTGTTGGCCAATGGCGCGGCCAGCACGCTGGAGCGTCTGATTGTTCCACCAGGCCGGCGATCTCCTATTGGGCGGCGACTCGGTGTCGGCTTGCGGCCGGCAGACCCACGGTAACGCGAGGGTCGTATTGTCGCCGCCGTCGCGGTTGGAACAGAGCTGGCGGCTAGTGTCACCAGTGCGATCACACTCAACAGCAACAGCCCCTCGTCGCGCGCCGTATTGGCCAGCTCCGCGAGCGCCACGGCCCGCTCTTCGAGCGCCCGATCGACCGCCAAATTGCGAACATGGACTCTGCGCTACAGCCAGCTTCAACTCCCTGCGCACTGCTTGGGCACCTCCTCGCGGTGTCGAGCGGCATAGGTTTCCCAAGCCGGCCCGCGCATATCTCAGGCGACACTCACCGTTGCACAGAGCCAGCATGCCCAGCGCAAGGCACAGCCCCGCAGCGAAACGCTCCATCCCTTCCTGGCCCCCCTCGGGCAACCGATGAGTCGATTCGCTATCGTTTGCCGAGAGCACTCCGACGGAAAGGCCTAACTCTTCTTCAGCTCGCCCCTTTGGCTGCCCTTCCCTTTTACCCCTCCCCTGTTTTCTGCAAGCCCAACGCGCGCAGCGGCTCTTGCAGGCGCCGTCGGCCCGCTTATGTACGAGCGATCGCTGGGAAATGGCGAACCGCTCGCCGTTGGTTGATCGCGGTGCCGTGCGGACGTCCCTTCAGCGGCCTGCGCGGGACGCCATCCAGCATGCTGGACAGAAACTCAAGGACGGCACTTGCCGAAAGGATTCCGGTCGACGGCCATTCCAGAATGTGCGGTGGCAATCCACGCAGCTGGCACCCGACAGGTTGTAGCCGTCGCGGCACATCCGTTGCAGAAGTTGGCTGCTCTGTTAGTTTGGGTGATTCGTTACTCCCCTCTTCCTTGTGTACTGGCGCATCAATTTACCTGTTGTTGGCCGAATTCTCATAGGAATATGCTGGTAATGCGGCTTTCCAGGAATTGTGTTCGTGTATC